ATTTAACAAATAAAGCTGTTTATAAAAGTTGCAGATAGTTTAAAGATGCATTTTCAGGGGTGGCGGAAGCTGAAAATCTTTGGGGGGCACTGCAAAAAATCACAACAATAACTTAATAACAGTAATAAAAATCGAATCTATGCATTTATATTTCATGTGAACCAATGTTTTGTGGGGGTCCAGGCCCCCCAAAAAAATTTCGTCACGCGGTCCCCCGGTTCCGCCGTCCCTGATTTTACAGCAACTTTAATTGGTATGAAAAATCTCGAGTCCAGGAATAGTTTCCAAGCGTTTGAAGCAAAACGTAACTACCTATGCCTTTGTTTTAGGAGACATATTTCCAAGATGGCGTCTGTTTCGTTCCCTAAAACAGGCCCAAAATGCACTGCGATGCCAACTCGACCCAGGCTTTTCCTCGACCTCGTTAGGGCAAATAATGTGACCGGTCGGAGCTTGGTATCTTTTTAGGTTTTTAGGTGACGAACAGATTAGATAGATAGATTGTAATGGCGGATTCAGAATTTTTTTTGAGGAAGGGGGCGGCAAAATTTACACTCAATAAGTGACGTCAATTTTGAATATGCTAGTAGTAACCTATTATAACGCAACAACGTGTTATGGCTTTCAATTTATAAACCTACATAAGAGTCATGACTTTCAATAGAAAATAGTAAAGATTATCTGTAATATATCGTATGTTAAAAAAGGGAAAACAACGAGTTGTACAGGGGGGTCTGGAACCCCTGAATTCATGCACAATGAGCAAAAGGCTAATAATGCTTCCAAAAGCTCATCTCCGAACCATTTACTTACTTGGTTTCTACAAGCACTCGCTCTATAAGAAGAAGTACAACTTGATCGGCATCCAGCATCTGTAACGCGCCTTTTCGAGTCTCCATAACCAGTGTCATAGGTCTTCTTGTAACAGACCCCTCGGCCAAACAAATATGAGCAGGTCATAGTAGTGGAGCAGCTACCTGATGATGCACTGCATCTGTGACATCGCAATGCACCAGTATTTGCTATATATAGAAACATTAGAAATCAAGTGTTATTTGACCTATTTAAAAAAACGTTAATGTTGTGGGTCGATAGCCCCGTAATCGTTAGTTTTGAAAAGACATAACGAAAACAAGGTTCGACGTTAGGAGCGTATAAAAATCAAATATCAACTTCATCATTTAAAGTACCTATCACCCTTCTGACAATATTTACAGTATTGATTCTACATAGGGTAAAATGTCGAATAACCTGAAAAAAATCATAGTTTGAGTGCAGCTTCTTGAAGTTATGAAGGTTTTTCCATGCCATATGCTAATGCGTTGACGTATGAGGAGGCATTTATGGTTATTTGTTGTTCCTYGTAATTCGAAACACCGGCTTCTATCACAGGGAGCCCGGCTTGGTGATGCTAAATCGGTAAAACCAAGGGCACTAGGACACCGAATATGGTTGGATTTCTATATGTTTTTTCCCCTTTCGATTATTTGAATTAAATTAACGTTATATACTTGTTTACTTATCTTGTGTCCGTGTTCCTTCGTTGTCTTCGTTCGCTGTTGTAGTGCAGACGTTTTCATTCCAAAGGT